AACAATGTTGACCTCTCCTCCTCAGAATGATCTGTGTGTCTGCCTTCATGAATGACAGCGACACTAAGCTGCTTAATCTGACTGAGGTCTCTGGCTGCCTTCACGCTGTCCTGGTTTTGGTTCAGTCATTTATTTTGTATTTATTCTCTCATGATTATTTTCTGTTTAGTTGCAGTTATTAGAGATCCACTGACTGTTCACTAGGTGCAGCCTGCTTGGATTTCATAACCAGGATTCCTCTCAAGGCTAATCCACACATCAGAAATCAGTCTGGTACGGCACTTTGAGCCAAAGGCAAATATGCAGAAGCTAAGAATAGATTTTTAAACAAACACTTTTTTAGGGATTTAAATCTGCTGTGAAAAGGATCCATTAAAGTAAAACCACTATTATTTGTCAAAAAGAAACGGCATTTAAAAAAGAACTACCGAAGAAAATCAATAGAAAAAAAATGAGCTTTTAAGTTATTGTCTCTACAAGGTCATCCATTTGACCTTTTAGCTGTTGATTCCAATAACATGGGTTCCTATTCTGGACATCCTGTAGTGAACGCTGCTATACTAGTTTATTTATCTATTAATCCAACCAATCCAATATGTCATAGTAATACCTACATGTCTTCAAGACATTAAAACCTGATGACTCTAAATCTTCTGCTTTTGAATTCAATTTCAATCCAATTCAGTTTATTTATATATATATATATATATATATATATATATATATATATATATATATATATATATATATATATATATATTTATATATATATTTATATTCACAACACGTGTCATCCCATGGCATTTTACCGAGACAAATCAACCAGATCTTCCAGTCCAGGGTAGGGTGACCAGATTTGAGTTTCCGAAAAGGAGGACACTTTTCAGAGGGGAAGGGGCTGCTGGTCCGCTGACTGGACCGGACCGGGCATTCGAACCGAGCCATCAGCTCTGGTCCGGAGCCAGCCAGAGACGGAGTGACCGAACCCAACCCGGTGACGGTATGCTTCCCCCCGCCTGCCCAAAAATATACAAAGGCTTGAAATGGAATAAAAATGAGTTTGCCTTATCAGGCTAATGTATTAAAACTATTTCACAAGAATTTAAGTCAGTAGGTCACATGACCTGGAAACTATTGAAGAAAAGTCCCAACTTTTGTCTTTAAAATATCTTAAAATTTGAAAATGGCTTAGAATAGCTTAAAAGCGAGTGTGCCTTACATATGTTATCTATCATCAGTTTACATGATGAAGGAGGGAGAAGGACAGTTATTTCATGCAAATATCCTGCTAAACATCTACTAGCGTTTAGCTGATATTAACCCTCTGATAACTGCTGTTTTGCTGTTGCCTGGTCTGGTTGGTAAAGGTAAATGCTCAGCCCTGTGAGCTTCTGGCTTAGTTGTTTGGTGTTATTTACAGACACACAATGGGCTCAATAAATGCCGGATTAATCTTGGTTTATTTTTTCTTGAAAACATAAAAAGAAATGCATCAAAATAATAAACTTACAGTCATGCTCCATTTCAGACAGCACCCAGCTGGGCAGCATCATTAATGATGCGATTCCCCCCCGACATTGAGGAAGAATAACTAGGTAGTTGTATCCAGCAGATAGCTGTCTTATTTTATTCAACAGGTTAATAATAATCTATCGTTAATTTGAACTATTCAGTTAGAAACCTTTCTGCAAAAAAACAAGAAGACAGGAAAACTTGGTCACCATATTGGACGCCTCACTCCTCTTTCTCCTTCCTTTCTGTTCTTTTTTGAAACCCAGGCCATTTCTCAATATGTGTACTTGTGGGTTCTCATGTGCTCATGTACTTGTAAAACGTCATCAGCCTCAGCACTAGTACTGTTTCGAATTCACAAGAACAGCAGCCTGAGAACAGACGAAATCTCCTGAAGTTGTTCTCGCCCCTCCCTATTTACCCAGCATGCGTCAGAGCAGACTTGTCTATTCTTGAGATTGACAGCTGTCCCAGCATGCACTGCAGCAGCAACAGCTTTCAACGCAGCGCTCACAGAGCTCAGAGTATTAAGTTTAAAGTTCTCTTTTATGTTGCCGTTATTCAATAAAAGTATGTTTTAAAATCATTTGAGGCGAGAACATTATACTTCTAAGCATCACTATGTGGCCATTTACTGATTTAGTGCGTTGACCGCGGCAACCAGTGGAGCTCCGAGGCTATCGACAGACAGGGCTAATTGTAGCCCGTCTGCAGCAGCCCTCTCTCGGCATAGCCGCGTGTGAATGACCGCTGGCCTTGATGGCGATTTTTTTGTTTTTTGGCAAAATTTTCATTTGATTTGTGTTTATCTGACTGTGTTTATTATTATTCACCCAATAAATGATAAGAGTCAGAATGTATTATTATCTAGAGACTATTAATAACAGGAGGTGAAATGCAGCTCCAGAGGAGCCGAGCGGGTGGTGACGTCATCAGTACGCTTCTGTTCCGTTCTCCCAGAGTCCACACTTTCCTGTGTTCTTCTCAAGAACATACTTGGCAAGGAGTCCGTACTCATGTTCTTGTAAATTGAGAAACGGCCCCAGACTTTGGGTTGCCGCACTTTTCAGCCATGGATGTTTTTACCACACTGCTGCTTATTTACACATTTTCTTATTATTTTTTTGTTTTCCTTGATTATCACTACGCCAAATACGTTCGCGTGGCATTTAAGCCCCAGTACGAACGAACTGCCGGTGACAGTGGAGAGACATGCGAACCCAGGTCGGCCGCATCGAGGACTAAGGCCTCCGTGCATGGGTCGTGTGCACTAACCACTGCGCCACCAAAGAACGCCCAGAACATTTTTTATATTACAATTCTACCAAACGGGAGCATATAGTATAAACAGTATAACCATTTTAGAGTCTATCAATAAATCAGGAAATTTGATCTTGAACCACAGAAATAGTTTTAAATGAATCATTAAAGCTGCAGAGATCCAGCAGCTCCATTCGTGACACTAAATGGTCTAAACTAAGCAATGGCTACTAATTTTATAGTCCATTGTTCATTTTAAAACATAAATTAATCATGTGTGTAATGTTTATTGTGACTCATTTATGATTCTCTCCCCACTTCCTCATGAAACTATTAATAGGAGGTCTAATCCCAGCAAGCGCTTACTGGTGGAGCAGCTGAGGAGGAGACGCATGAACCCAGTTACCTTAATCTGGTTCCTCAGCCATAAGTGGAAATGAAGCAGCATGGAAATTTAATGTTTTTACAGCTGAAGCTTTGGATTATGTTACTACTTGACTAATCTACAGATTTTTTTTCCATTTCTCAATTAATCTAAAAATAGATACTTTTAAAAAATGAAAATCAGAAATTACTTATTTGTATAAATTTGATTAGTGCGTCATTTTGAAAGGTCCTGCTCTCCATTCCTGACTATTTTCAGTGGAGACCTAAACATTTATGACCATGTCCACCATTAGCCAAACATACTGCAATGAGCTGCTCTAACAATTTAAACATCAGCTGCTTATTACGATCAACTTTGGCTGCAACACGTTCCTCTGCCTGCTGACAAAAGTAGGCCATGAGAGACAATCTGCTGTTTATCACACCTCCTTCTCTGTAGCTTCACGCACTCATACAGCTTTCACCTTCAGCTTCCCTCGGTCCGTAAAGCGGCCCACTTTGCCTCCCGTTTATCTCACAGTTGCTCTACTTTCTGTCTGCTGTGGGACGTCACCTGAACAGGCGAGGATGGCTTTTTGTTTTATGATGTTCGCACCCTCTCCAGACAAGAGGATTGCTGAAAAACGGCTTTAAAGTTGATGGCTTTTATTGCTTTAAAATTAGGACACTTTTAGTGGTTTTGGGTTTAAAATATCCTCTTTTCCCTCCCATCTTAACAGCATCTTTGTTTTTTATATATTTTGCATTATTCCTCAGCTTATGTATTGAGGCTTAACAGAAAGACAACAGCAGGTCAGGCTAAACATGGAAACTTTTGGAATAATAACACTAAGTAGTTATTCCAAAAAAGTTAAAAAAACAATCCACTGGACTTTGTTTCCAAGTTTGAAGATGTTTCCCTCCCATCCAGGAAGCTTTTCAATTCAAAATGTGACAAATAGCGTTGAGTTTGAGGCTTTATAGAGTAGAGTAAACCAAAAACAAAGGCTTAAAAATCCTGCAAATTGAATCAGAACAACAGTTCCACCGCTTAGATTGTATAGTCGTTTGGGTTCTTTGTTAGCCTGTAATACCCAATACCTGTCTATGTCTCTGAAAGGGGGTCATTGGAGAGAATTTTTGGCCTGGCTGAACTAGCAAGGTGTTCTGTTCCCCTTTTAGGGGGTGGGGGTTGTGATTATAGCGGAAAGGAATCAACTCCGTCACTGAGTTGTAGGTTTTTGAAAGATGAAACCTAGTGATGGATTAATGAGCCATCTTCAAGTATTTCCACACATTGCCAAACTGGATTGATGCTGCATTGATACTGTCTCACAGAACACTGACACCTGCTGGACCTTTAAATACACTACAGGCAGCTTATTGGACAGACTAAACTGATTTGATTTGGTAACCTAGTACAATGATATAATTTAAGTTATTGTAGGTTATATTGTATTATTCATATCTATGTTCAAATGGAAAATATTTTTGATATTTTAGATGCAGCCAATAAATAATGTAAACATATAACATGAAAATGTAGGGGAAAATGTGAATGAGGTTGTTTGTGGATTAGGATTTTAAATCATATTTTTAAAGCAATAAGTACAGTAAAAACTAAGAGTCAATTTGAATTGAATTGAAAATTAAATGCAAAAAAAATCTTATACTTTATGAACTTTAAAAAAATCTGAGAAAACATCTAAATAATTCTCAAAACTTTTCATTAAAATGTTTCATTTCTTTGCTTTTCTTTATATATATTTATCAGATTTCCATTTATGAAACGTGTTTAATGCCTGAAACAAGTATCCCCCCATGTCATCAGTGATGGACTCTTCCTGTCTGTTTGAATACAGGTGTCTCCTCTGCGTCCTTGTTGCACTCCAAGTCGCTGCGGGGCCACAGAGACTGCTTTGAGAAATGCCACCTGATCGCCAATCAGAAGCTGTCTCATTCCAAGGTGTCCAGAAGCGCCTATGAGGGCATGAAGCTGGCCCTCAGCCAGAAACTGACCAGCATCATCCAGTTTGCCCAGAACAAAGACTCGCTCTCCTCCAACGGCTGTGGCAGACGGGGGGCCAAGCTCCTCTGTTACAGCCAGCAGGGAGAGCGCAAGCTGCTGCCGCAGTCTGACGCTCAGGTGCCGCGCTACGCCCCCTGCTGGGACAGGGCCAAAGAAACGGGCCTGGAGAGCCAGACGGGAGAGGAGGTGGATCTCCTGTGTGCGTCTCAAAGCGAAGGTTGGAGCAGAGACGGAAGGAAGGATGGAAACGGCTGGACGCAGCCTTCAGGACAGAGGCAGCAGAGACGCCAGGGCCACAGCAGAGAAGAACGTAAGGAAAATCAGTCGAAACCTTTTATACTTTCTGCTCATTAGACTAAAGAGGGGTAGATTTTCTCTTCCATTCAGTCAAAGTAGAAAGTTTAGAGAAAGAAATTCAGTTCTTCTCCTTTTGTCTCATACAGAACATTCTCTGCTTAACGTCTTAACTCTGAAGGCTGAATTATACTCAGAAACCAGGTCGTCTGTGTGTGTCGCAGTGAACGCAGATATGCCCCGCCCCTTCTGCAGACACTCTGCTGCACCTCTCCAAAACTATAGGTGAACGTAGACAGGAGGCCTCCGATTGGTCAATTCTACATCCGCTCTACACTTTGCATATTTCTTCTTTGGTACCTTACCAGCTTGTTTTGTTTGTATGACCGCCATTGTGGAAAACCACGTGAAGATGGACCAGCTAGAAGATCAAGCTGCGTGAAAACCAGTGTTAATTTCTTCAGCTTTTTTAAATTTAGTCTTAGTCATATTTAGTCATTGCCTTCCCAATTTAGTCTTAGTCTAAATGATGAAAATCTATTTTAGTCTTAGTCAAATTTGAGTCATTTTAGTCAACACTGTAAATAGTAAAATTTCTCCACAGACCGATTCTCTTCTTAACATATATCACACTGCACACATTGAAACTTTTGTCAGCTTGTTTCATCATATCCACAAAGTCTTTATCCTCAATAGGCCTTGCAGGCAGGCCAGAACGCCCGATCCACTTTTCCATGGAGTTCTCCAGGGCTTTCTGCTCTTTGGTGTCAGGGTTGTACGGTGGGGGGGCTCCCAACATCTCTGCAAACAGACTTCCTGTCCTTCCCCAATGTCTGACTTGGCTGTGGTGTCAGTCATTATCATGCAAGTTGTTTTGTTTTCTTTCGCGTTGTAAACGAAATGGCTCCATACATTCAGGGGTTGTTTTCGCCCAGCTCCTTCAACAAACTGTACACCAGTATCTGAGCCCGACGCCATGACTGGGTAGTTGAGCTAGCTACGGTTAACTACTACCAGTGACCAGTATAAGCTCTCTGCTACTACTGAGTGAGCGGCGCAAGGCACTGTGGGACAGGCGGCGTGTAGGGACAAACAGGGCAACGACGCATAATCTTCTATGAAGTTAAAGAAACACTTATATTAACAATTACAAATTAATTATAAACAATAAAATGTTTTTATGTCCATTCGTCTATGGCTTGTCAATTTTGTCTGGTCTTAGTCTCGTTGACGAAAATAATCTTTTTTTTCTTGTCATATTTTTATTTTTTGGAAACAATTTTTGTGTGTTGTTGTTTCGTCATCGTAACTGGAAAAAGAGGCGTTAACGAAATATTTTCGTCATCATCCTGGTTGACGAAATTAACACTGGCGAGAACGCTGGGACCCTTTTTCCACCTGGATCCCTGCTCTTTTTCGCCCTCATGTCCCTCCATTTTCGCACAAACTTGCTCCCACTTCCTCGCCGCCTCGGCCGTATCTAGACCCACAGCTAGTTCCTGATTGTCCCTCTTGCGTTGTGGCGTGGAATAACAGCGCAGACCACGCTTCGATATTGAGCATAAATCAAAAATATCTGTGACAAGTTCACTGCGACACACTGCTGCAGGAGTATAACCAGCCCTTTGCATCACCAGAGTTGTAGCAGACGGTGCTGATTTAACCCTAATGCCATGAATGGCGACAGATTCTGTAGGTCGGTCTGATAGTTTCTAACCCTCTATACGGCGTTTCTTTCCTAGTGACTAAGATGAACACGGACGAGCTCCATCAGCTGAACGGACGACTGCTGAAGCAGATTGAAAGTAAGTTTTGTTTCTTAGAAATAGGATCAGATTCTCCCGGATAAATCTTAACCTCCTGTTTCGATGACTTCCCGCCTCCATAGAGGTCTTCGAGGAGCTGACGGCTGCTGTGCAGGAGAAGGACGCCCTGGCGTCAGAGCTGCATGTGCGTCACATCGCCATTGAGCAGCTCTTTAAGAACTGTGCCAAACTGCCCTGGCTGCACATCAGCAGGGCCGGCGTGAAGGCCAGCAGCAGCAACGGCGCCGCCGCCGTGGAATGAGGAGCCGGAGGACAGCACCTGGCCGAAGGTGAAGAAGTGGTCTGCTGCTGCGCGGAGGAGGCTGAAAGCATCTGGATCCTGTTAGACTTTTGCACAGCGGGGCCGTTGGGTCCCGCGCAGCACCAAGGGCTCGCTTCAGTTAGTGGTTCCACTGATGTGAGGTTACTGGCGGGCGGCTGATGAGTTCCTGCTCTGGTTGTGACTCTCTGATTACCCAGGGTTTAAAAAAAACACGGCCTTAGGATGGAGGAGTTTTAATGAGCTGCACAAAAAACAGACCTCAGTGGTGAAATTTATTCTTTATCGTCCTCAATTATTCAGTTTTATATTTCAATACAGTTTTTACTTTTCTAGAATGAGGTTTCTGATTATTTCTCAGTTCTTTAAAGGTTAAAGATTTCAGTCAGTATTTAGCTGATAATAAAAGAAAACTCTCCTTCAGTCAAACTTCCCCTGGATGAACACTAATGCTTGAAATTCCCTGAAATGGTTTGAAATGAGCCCGATGTTTGCTGGAAACTGGTCTAAAATGTTTGCTAAACATTTTAAAGGACTGGAACTTGGTACTAAAAGCCTCTAGGGAGGGAATTTTGTTCCACTATTTATGTTGGAAAGGGACACAGTTTGTAAATGGGGGAAAAAAGCAACCCAGAAACAAAACTTTGAAAAACCTCTTGTCATTAAAAAATGTCTTTAATTTAGCTTTAGCAGATTTTATTATTTTTATTTTTCTGAAGTTTTCTCAACAGAGCAAAATTCAGATTAAGTTTTACAGAGCCTGCCCTTAGGTGGGAAAATAACCAGATCTGTAAAAAATAATACGATTTAAATCTGATAAATTTGATAAAAGTTGAAAATGTTAGGTTAAAAAAAAAGGTATTACATTTAAAAAAATGAAAGAAAATAAAGAATTTTCAAAACTTTATTATTAAGAAATGTTTGAAATTTCAACAATAATGGACCAAAATTCTCTCCATAGCCTTCCCTCACCTCCTCCATCTTGGATCTGTAAACAGACCGTCTTAAATATATTAAAGAATCATGATATCTACATATATGTAGATATTTATATGGTCACACTTAATTATGACCATATAAATGGTCATAAATTAGTGTCTCTTCTCTAAAAGCTTTATTTTAAACCATATTTCCATCATGAACCTGGTCCCTGTTCAGTTCAGCTGACTATTTTACTCCTGGATGGAGATGGATTAAGGGTGACCTCTGACCTCCTGCTGAGAAACCTGCTTCATTTAAGCCAAACACCTACAGGTCCTCACAGTTAACAGTGATTAAACTAAAATAAGCTCCTCCTGTTGGGGTTTGAATCGTAGCGTCGGTGTAGAACCTCCCACGACAGGCGGCTCTATTTCCTACCAAAGAAAACTGGACAAAAAGCTGCAAAGGTTGGATTTGGTGTCTGATACAAAAGGTCATGGATGGAGCAGCAGTGGGCGGAACCTAAAACTTTAGCTGAAAGATAATTTGAAAAAAAAAAAAAAAAGAAATCAAACTGCTGCAGAGTCAGTTTTACTTTAGTGACTTTTCATTGAGAAACGGCTTGTTGGCTCATCACCCTGTTGCCTAAGAAGTGTTATTTTAACCCCCTTCTTTGTAAAATCTATCATTTCTGGTGGGATTTCATTTGATTTGTGGTAAAGCTGTCGACACTTCTTGGTTCCTGTCAGATCAAGAACACATGAGAGGGAAATCCATTTGTTAAACCAAAGTTTATTATCCTTAAACCGGAATGAGCCCATGTTAAACCCCCCGAGCTGAAGGTTGCTTAGGGCTCACCTTATTGATAACGAGTTTCCCTCCCTGCTATTTCAGCGTGTCTACATAGCAATACAAACATGGCGTTTGGTCTGCAGTGCCTGTAGATATCCATAATGTTTAATCAAAGGAACTTTATGCAAGACGCGTCTAAACGGAAAATCAAAAGGCCTTATTAGGAAAGATGATGGTTGGACTTTTCCTCCCAGGTGGTTTAGAGTTTTCTAAGCTGGTATAAAGCAAACTTAGAAAAAATGCAGCATTTCTGCGTTGGGCTCTCTTTGTAAGAGAATAGATGTTTTTGACCCTTTTTAGGGTCTAAAGTTATGGTTATAAACTTGGTTTTGAACTTTTTCTTATGGTTTTATTTGGACATGTAGCCTGCCTGAGTGTGTTTATTAAAGCAAATATTTAGTCCTTGCATTTTTAGTAGAGTATCTGTTTTCGTGGATGTTTTTGGACCTATCTTCGCCGGGAGAACCAGTCCGTTTCTTTTCAATCGGATTTGAGTTACACTTCTACATTAGTTGTAGCCTGACCGTACATTTCTTTACATTTTTTCCATGGATGCATTTTTTAAATGATATTTATTGTGTGGAAATATTATGTTTGAATTGTGTAGACAAATCTTTTTCAATAAAATAAAAATACAGGTATTTTTTACAGAATCTGGTGTGTAGTGTTTTTTTTTTCTCTCTAAATGCCATTTTCAAATAAGGGATTTAAATATAAAATATGGTACAGTGCCTTTATAAACGTATTTATATTTTACTGTTACACTTACCGTAGTTTAATTCTACACTTTGCTGTTCTTGTCCAGTGTTTTTTGTCTGTTTTCCTAGCAGTTTTACACATAAAGGCTGAAATATGTGTCAGTTCTTTTCTACTAATTACCTGATTATTAGATTTAATCTAGAGCCTCTGAATATTGATCCGTTCTTGCATCAGAAAATTGATAAATACGCTTTAATCCATATATTTATTCCAAATCCGCTCTTGCTGCATGGACTTTGCATGTTCTCCAGGTACTCCAGCTTCCTCCCACAGTCCAAAGACAGGACTGTTAGGTTAATTGGTTTTCTAAATTCTCCTCAGGTGTGAGTGTGTGCGTAAATGGTTGTTTGTCTCTGTGTTGCCCTGAGATTGACTGGCGACCTGTCCAGGGTGGACCTCGCCTATTGACAGCTAGAGATAGGCACCAGCACCCCTCGCGAGAAAATGGATGGGATGCAGTTTTCCCTCCAGGAGAATTGGAAAGCAGTCGTTGCTATGGCAACACCGTGGAGCCCCATGTACACGGCTTTAGCTCTGTGGCACAGGTTGGCATGAAATCAAGCCTTTGCCCCTTTCTTAAAAATAAACTTATACAGTTGAATAAAACTGAATGTCGCCCGTAATCCCTAATCCCTTTATCGAGCAGGGACTATTTAATGGAGTAACTGACCTTTGGACAGATTGACTGGTGACTTATCCAGGGTGTAACCCGCCTTTTATGCATGGACTGCCTTAGACCCACCATGACCCTGATCATGAGGCAGGAGAAAATGGACAGACTCTCCCCCCCATAAAACATGAAAACTTATTTTTAAAAGAGTAGGAACTATTTATTAGCCTTCTTTTTTGTTGTGAATAAATGATTGTAGTATTTTTGTTGACAGTTTTTGGTTAATATACCTACTTTAAAATCTCGAAGTAGAATATTCCACATAATGGTGTCTCTGCTGCCACCCTGTGGTTTAGAGAGGAACATCTTGTTCCAGAGGTGTGTGAATTTAATTCAGTTTATTTATTCAGCGCCAATTGAACCCATGTGATTTAGGCACTTTACAGCAGCAATTTAATCAGATCAAACAGTCAGATTAATTTTAAGTTTTCTATCTAAGGAAAAAAAGTCGGTTGCATCAACACATTGACTATGACAGTTCCTCACACCATGCATGCTTGTAGCAACAGTGGGGAGGAAAACAGGAAGTAACCTCCAGCAGAACCAAAACGAGGCTCAGTGTGAGCGGCCATCTGCTGAGGCCGACTCTGATTCAAGGAGACAGAAGATGACAAAGAAAAAGAAGCAGAGATACAAAAGGCAACTGGTAACTAGCTCCACTGTCCAGGAAACAAAGAGCCAGGCAGACGAGCTCTGAGCCAGCTTCCATGTCAGAAGATGAAGAGAGCACATACATTTAAGGGTTGAACTAAAAAATACTGCAGAACGGGAAAACAGAGAATTTAATAAAGCAGAATTATGAAAAGGGGTCCCTATGTCCTCCAGCAGTCTAAGCCTATAGCAGCATAGCTAAAGAGATATCTCAGGATAACCTGAGCTACTCTAACTATAAGTTTCATCAAAAAGGAAAATGTAAAGCCATAAACGTTTTTCCTTATGTAAAGAAAAAGAAAACAAAACGGTAAGAGTGTCTAAGATTGCCTATCAGAGCTGATTAAACCAGCTGGAGAGGCCATTTTGTCCTCTTTTGAAGTTAATTGCAGATGTTAAGTGGAAATGAAACGGTAAACTGAACTAATTTAATTAACAAGATTTTGTCTGACTATCACCCACAATCATAGTACAATTATGAAAAATACATATGTATAAAACAAAAAAGCATGCCTTTATAATTTTTGGGATGGTCGCCGCCATCTAAGTGGTGACATCACAAGGTTGGTTCTGTAGTTTCCAGTTGAATACATTGGTAATACCAACTATACCTCACATCCATAAAACACAAGCCAAAAGGCCACTTGAGCGTCCAAATCCCTCTGATCTAGATTGCTAGATCAGAGGGATATTCACTGTGTGAGTCAAGGTGTGGGAAGGAGAGAAGAGGCAGATGTGGAAATTATTTGAAGCAGAAGAGTTTTGAGTCTGGCAAGCTAGCGGTTCATCGTACGAACAGACTAAAGCTTCAAGCTGCTCCGAGTGTCTTTAATGTCACTGCCTTTAAGCTGGGCTCTACTGGTCAGCAGGTCAGCTGCATCAATTAGACATAATGACAGGGTGTGAAATAGTAGCACGTTTTCAAGGAGTGACATACTGAACATTTTAAATGCATAAAATTCTAGAAAAAAAAATTAGATGAGTGTCTTGTTTGAGAACTTCTATCTCAGTTTGGTAAATATCTAACTTTAATTTTTAAAACCATTAAATAATGAAAAGGGGGGGTTCCTCCTTTTTACTATGTCTAATATACAGGGTGTGTTTGGGAATCATAACAATCCTGATTCAGTGATGATCGCAGCTATTTTCCAAACTCACACAAAGCAAGTGGTTTTTATAAGGGATTTTTTTTAATCTTCCCTTTATTTTGAAACAAATGCTTAGAAAATAAGTCATAGATAAATAATGAGTGTTTTTTTGCACAACTCTGTTTGTAATGCAATACTGCCCCCTGCAGTCATATTAACGGAAGAGGATTAGGGCCACTGAAAAAATAAAAAAGTGAACTGATTCTTAAATATTATTTAATCTCAGAATTTTGACTTTAATCTAAGAATTCTGCGTTTAATCTCAGAATTCTGACTTTAGTGTCAGAGAAATGTCAATTCTGACTTTAATGTCAGAATTCTGACTTTAATCTCAGAATTTTGGATCTTGTAGATGGGCACCATGAAGGCAGAGATGTGAGTTGTTTGGGAGGGCCAGTAACACATTGGTGGAAAAGGTGACTTTTTAAGTGCCAGAGGGGTCCCCGATGATGCTATTTCATTCATTGAAATGCAGAAGGTGATTAAAACAAGAGAAGTTTTTATGTCTGCTTTAGTCTCTAAAACAGACATGGCTACGGCATGATGCTAACATGTTTGTTAGCTGTCAGAATTCAGTCAGAATTCTGAGATTAAAGTCAGAATTGTGAGGAAAAATGTCAGAATTCTCAGATTAAAGTCAGAATTATTAGATTAAAGTCAGAATTATGAGGGAAAAAAGTCAGAATTATGAGATTAAAGTAATAATTCTGAGATTAAAGTCGGAATTATGAGAAAAAAGATTAAAGTCAGAATTATTATTACGGCATAGAATGTGAAGAAATAACAGTATTTCCTCACAACCCTGTCCTCTCTGACCACTTTCTAATAACCTTCAGGATTACTTTAACAGAGTTCTCCTCCCCCAAAAGAAGGTTCAATTTTAGTAGATCTTTATCAGATAGAGCAGTTATACATTTTAAAGAATCTGCTTCACTTTCTCTCTCCTCTGTGTCACTGAGCAGTGCTGCAGAGTGCAAAAGCTTAGCTTATTCCCCTTCACAGGTTGATGATTTTGTTGATGGGGTTGCTAGTTCTCTGCGTATTGCCTTAGACAACGCAGCTCCTTTGAAAATGAAAACTGTTAAAAATAGAAAGCTTGCTCCTTGTTTTAATGCAGAGCTGCGTACTTTGAAGCAAAATGCTAGGAAACTGGAGAGAAAATATCGCTCCACAGGCCTGCGAGAGTCCTTCCTAGTCTGGAAAAATGGTTTACTGCTGTATAAGAGGACCCTTTGTAAAGCAAGAGCAGCATACTTCTCCTCATTAATAGAGGAGAATAAGAATAATCCTAGATTTCTTTTTAATACAGTTGCCAAACTCACCCAGAGCCATAGCTCTGTTGAACCGTCCATTCCACCTGCTCTTAGCAGCAATGATTTTATGGGATTCTTTATAAATAAGATTGATCTTATTAAAAATAAGATCATAAGCACTCCTCTATCCGCGATTGTACCTGAGGTAGTCATGGAATCTGAACCGGGTTTAGACTGCTTTGATCCAGTTGAACTTTCTGAATTAGCAAAATTATTGTCTTCATCTAAGCCTTCAACTTGTATGTTAGATCCAGTTCCAACCAGGTTATTTAAGGAGGTATTCCCTTTGATCTCCTCCTCCATTTTAGATGTGATTAATCTATCTCTGTTACAGGGATATGTACCTAAAGCTTTTAAGATTGCTGTAATTAAACCTCTGCTTAAGAAACCGTCTCTTGACCCAGATGACTTGGTCAATTATAGACCTATATCCAATCTTCCTTTCTTATCCAAAATTCTTGAGAAAGTAGTTGCCAAACAAGTTTGCGATCACTTCCACCATAATGAACTTTTTGAAGAGTTTCAGTCTGGCTTTAGAGCTCATCATAGCACTGAAACAGCTCTGGTGAAAGTCACTAATGATATTCTCATGGCCTCAGATAATGGACTTGTATCTGTGCTCGTCCTGTTGGATCTTAGTGCTGCATTTGATACAGTTGACCATAATATTCTTTTAGAAAGACTTGAATATTTTGTTGGAATTAAAGGAACAGCTCTAGACTGGTTTAAATCTTATCTATCTGATCGAATTCAGTTTGTTCATGTTAATGATAGATCTTCAACACGCTCAAAGGTTACCTGTGGAGTACCACAGGGATCAGTGCTAGGACCAATTCTCTTTACTTTATACATGCTCCCAATTGGTAGAATTATTAGACAGCATGGGATTAATTTCCACTGTTATGCTGATGATACCCAGCTATATCTGTCTATAAATCCAGATGAAGCTAACCCATTACATAGATTACAGGCATGTCTTGAAGACATAAAAACCTGGATGACTCTTAACTTTCTGCTTCTGAATGCAGACAAAACAGAAGTTATAGTCTTTGGACCAGAGTCTCTGAAAAAGAAACTGATTAGCCAGTCACTTCATTTGGATGGGATTAAACTGATTTCAGATAATAAAGTAAAAAATCTTGGTGTTATTTTTGATCAGGACCTGTCATTTAAATCCCATATCAAAGAGGTTTCTAGAATTTCCTTCTTTCATCTGAGGAACATTGCAAAAATTAGAAATATCCTGTCCAGGGGTGATGCTGAGAAACTAGTCCATGCATTTGTTACTTCAAGGCTGGACTATTGTAATTCTTTACTATCAGGAAGTCCACAAACTGTAGTTAAAAGCCTTCAGCTGATCCAAAATGCTGCAGCCAGAGTTCTAATGAAAATGAAAAAGAGAGATCATATCTCTCCTATCCTGGCTTCTCTTCATTGGCTTCCTGTTAAATCAAGAATAGAATTTAAAATCCTCCTTCTCACATATAAAGCCTTAAATGGCCAAGCTCCATCTTATATCAGAGATCTGATTGTTCCTTATGTTCCTAACAGAACACTTCGCTCTCAATCTGCAGGTTTACTAGTGGTTCCTAGAATTTCTAAAAGTAGAATGGGAGGCAGGTCTTTTAGTTATCAGGCTCCTCTCCTTTGGAACCAACTACCAGTTTTAGTCCGTGAGGCAGACACCCTGTCTACTTTTAAGGCTAGGCTTAAAACTTTCATTTTTGATAAAGCTTATAGTTAGGGTGGCTCAGGTTATCCTGAGCTATCTCTATAGTTATGCTGCTATAGGCTTAGACTGCTGGAGGACATAGGGACCCCCATTTCATCATTCTGCTTCATTCTCTCTCTGTTCTCCTATTCTGCAGAATCTGTTAGTTCAATCTCTAACCTTCTGCTCTCTCTGCTTTTCCTCAGAGTAGCTTTGCCTCGTCTGTTCCTGTTTGGCTGTGACGTCATCCTGGAAAAAAACATCAGCTGTGCTGCTTCTATCAACACCCTTGTTAATAGATGTTGGAGATCGGCCTGTTTTCCAGTGTGGTCCTGTTTCTCTGACCGTGACTGAGTGGATGTGCTCTCTTCGTCCTCTGGCATGGGAGCTGCCTTGGAGCTCGTCTGCCTGGCTGTGTGTTTCCTGGACGGGGCCGCCTTTTACAGCTGCTTTTTGTATCTCTGCTTCTGTCTCCTTGAACCCCAGTCGGCCTCGGCAGATGGCCGCTCACACTGAGCCTGGTTCTGCTGGAGGTTTCTTCCTGTTAAAAGGGAGTTTTTCCTCTCCACTGTCGCTACAAGCATGCTTAGTGTGGGGGATTGTATTTGAGTCAATGAGTCGATGCAATCAACTGGTTTTCCTTAGATAGAAAACTTTGTATCAATTTGACTGTATGATCTGGTTGAACTGTAAAGTGCCTTGAGATTACATGTGTTGTGAATTTGGCGCTATATAAATAAACTGAATTGAATTGAATTGAATTATGATATCAGAGTCAGAATTATGAGGGAAAAAAAGTCAGAATTCTGAGAAAAAAGTCAGAATTTTGAATTCTTTCTCAAACTATACTGACATAAAATCTTTTAATCAGTTATCCTTTCTTATTTTTTCAGTGGCCCTAATCTGTACAGACCTCCTTTAGTGGTGCTACCATCTTCTGTTGATCAGCCTGAGTACTGAAACCCTGTGCAATAAACTGATAAAGAAGGTTATCCTTGGGACAACTTTAAAGAATCATTTGAGATTATTCCTGTATAAAATACTCTTCTTAAAATGATGAAAATTAATCTGAGCATCCCCCATCAGTTGTTCCTACAGCTACAAGACTTTCTTGAGTATATACTTAATCTATAAAGAGCTTTAAAACAGCCTCAGCTGAACTAAAGCTGTGATTATAGTGAAAATGTAGTTTTTCCACTGTAGTGTTGTAGTAAGCACCAACCAGGATTAACAACTCTTACAAAAAAAAAAATCTGTAAAACACAGGTAACTGTTTTTTTCTTCCTTTTTCTTATTTATTTTTACATTGTAATAAAAAGTTGGGCAGGATACCAACAGGTTTCTGGGGATAAACACAAACAAAACACCAAACTACGAAACAAAGCAAGAAATGATGCTAAAATGATCAAACACTTTTCAGTAATACCCTTTTATACTAAAATCAAGGCTATCTTTACGTTTAATAGTTAATGAACATCTCTTCTCGCGTTTGTCTACATTACAGTGGTGAGAGCAACTCCCATTCTAACAAATATGAGTCATAAAAGCAATTTGACTCAACATTTGATTGGCAGATATTCGACCAATAAACGGGAAGAATATGTTGTTTTTAACCAATGAAAAACCTTTATGGGCGGGGTTAAAGTTCTATTGGGCTGAGTAATAATGAAGCTTTTCTGAAGCCTCATTCACTTCCATTCATTTCTAGCTCACGCTGTGCTAAAACAGGTAACCAACGTTTACATGTTCTGTTGTCTCCTATCGATTATATAACCGTTAATATTACAGCGTTGTAACTGTTTTATGAAGTTATTGATTTTGACATTGTAGCCGTAGCTATTTGTTTAAGTTGTTAGCAAGTTATGAATGCTAGCTAACGTGGCGTGGCGATTATTTAGATAAAGGTAAGTCATTTGTATTAAGTTAAGAACGTATATATTTTATGAATATGCACAAATAAGTTTGAATTATTGTTAAAACAGTGATACCAAAATGTATTTCTTTTTTTAACCGTTTTGGACGCTAGCTAGAGCCGTTAGCTGTAGCTAACACCAGCTAGCTTTGTTATGGAGCGTGCTGTGCGGGAACCAACGGAACTTCTGCGTCACAGCCCGCCTTTCCAGGACCCGTTAGATCAACAGATCGCTGAACCAGACAGACTTTATCCCATTTCAACAAAGAAGTCGTTGATGTAAATTACAACAGCATCCCTTATCATTAGGAGGAAAGTCCTTAATCGGGAATATTAGCAGCAGTGTCGTACGTGGAAAAACAAAACAGAGTAATGGACGCCCGCTGTTTGTGTGTTTGGACACAAAGTGAGGCTCATCCTGTAGCTGGACTTCAAGGGTGTAACTTAGTGATGAAGGTTGGTGAGGACTCTAAGGGTGGAGGCTGATGGAGCTACACTTACTCCACCTGAATGATTTTATTAGGTTTTTATATTTTCCAAAAATGAGCTTAAACATCTATTTATTGATACCCTCCTATTGTTAAGGACACAGATCCATAACACACTGATATTTATAGATAGTTAAGAGAGATGCCTTATATATATATATATATATATATATATACAGGGCCCAAAAAATAAAGGTAATTTCTCCCTGGGATTATTAAAGTATTTCTGATTCCTGGTTGATGGGACAGGTGTTGTGAATGAAACGGTGCCCAGCTTGAAAGAGCTCCTGTGTGTCCCTGAATGTGTGCATTGAAGACTGAAAGACATCTTCTGCCTCCATTTATCCATTTATCTACAGTGTGTTGATTTCATGTTAATGTTTATTTAACGACATTTAAATAAGTGGGAAAAAATGCAGGGGGGAAGTCTAATCATCCAAAACTTTCACGACCCCCATAAAGTACCTATGTGGACCTTTTGGGGGCATGAAACCCCTGTTAAAGACCTCCACATCAATATATATAAAAAAAAAAATTAATAAAAGCCTATTCCAATGCCAAAATCGATATATCATGCATCCCTTGAAATACTATTTCAATTCCATCTAGAAAATTTTTTTGATATGCTGCATTTTAAATATAGCATAGCATATTCTTTTCTTTTACACTTTCCGGGAAACTTGGAGATATATTTTATTGCATGCTGCATATCCCAGTAAATCTGTTTCCCCTTTAAATCTGCAGCTCTCACTACTTCTCTCTGTGCTCTGTTTAAAAAGATTTATGAACCTCCTGATTAATGTAATGGTGCCGAAAACAGAATTTAAAGATATGTAGAAGCTCTGCAGTCTGATTCTGTCTGTACAATAAGAAAATGTGTTCATTTTAACGTGTAACTGGGAGTCATGGTCCTCTGACTTTAGAAGGACATATTCAAACTATATTTTCCTCAAGCTTCTTGCATTATAATACTAACTTGTATAAACTTACAAATTTTTGCGTTTCTTGTGGAAAAAGCTCAGTATGTCTAACGAACGGATTTTCCGGAGGCATCTCTAATTTTTTATTTTTTTACTTAAACGTGAAATTAGCTGCTGATTAATATTCAGTGAGTGCAGCTGTGCGTCTCTCCTCCTCGACTTGGTGACTGTACATCGCTGAAAAAGAACAGCATCAAATGTCTCAAAGCGACATATCCGATGATGTTTGGCGGAAGGGCGGGGCACAGGAGCAGCGGGGGAGAGGGAAAAAGTACATAAAAAATAGGGGGGGGAAAAGATAGCCGCACCTAACCTCTGTTACCTTTGGCTAAAGAAACTGAGCGGAAAGGGGGGATAAAAAGCGAAAATGATTGGTGGGGACATGTCTACACCAGTTCTTCAGAAAGTTACGTCTGTGCTGTGCTTCAATGTTTAATAAACTTAAAGTGAAATACATTAAAAATGAGGAAATTATATCGTTTTATTAACGGTACAATTTCAGGTAATTATCCAGTAAACATAATGGACATATGACAACCAGTAGATACTGAGCAGTCAAGATGAAGTTAACAATCTTTTCAGAAACTGTATTAATTAAAATAATGTTTTATAGTAAAACTCTTTTCTTTTTAAACTTTGAATTTCCCATTAAGATTGCAAAGTAAATTACTCATTTTAGCTTTTCTAATGAGCTTAACCAGGATTTTACATGCATCGTGATTCGACATTTGTAAATATATGGAAATGTTGCATGTTGATGTGTTTTCTTGCCTGTATATAACACTGACAGCGGTTCGTTTGATTACGTGGTCACTTTAAATTATTTCTCACTGCTGAATTAAAAAAAGGAAAATCTGATGATTATTTTTTTTATTGGGCGTGTCCACATAGCGCCTATAAAGTGTGATTTAAACACATGCTGGTCACTGCTATTTACTCTATTTTTGTAGATTAGTAATCTGTCTAGGTCTGAAAGTTATGCCCCAAACCTCTATCACAATATTTGTCTTAATTTTGGCTTATGCAATATGATTTCACCAAAATAAAAACATCAGAAACGATGCCAATAGACAGATTTAGCAACTGTGTGGTTCCGTCTAACCATTGTGGATGTTGTTCAATGTTCAGTTTTCTTCCAGAAGCTCATGGTTCGTAATGATCAGACGTAAAACATGATGCGAGAGATAGCAGCGGTGGTTTTCTTTCTGAAGAGGCTCGTGAAGAAAGGAGAGAAGCTGGAAGCCGACCAGGTGGAGCTGTTTGTCGAGAGGCTGGCTGTTGCTCTACAGGAGAAGTTCAAAGGTCACTGGTACCCAGAAAGCCCCAGCAGAGGACAGGCCTACAGGTACAGATGATTTGGAAAAGCACTGCGTAACAAATAGAATCTAACATTTTCAGGTCATTAATCCGAAACATCCCCTTTATGTTGGTGTTTTAGGTGCATCAGAATAAACAGGTTCCACAGGCAGGATCCAGATCTCCTTCGGGCCTGCCAGGAGAGCGGAGTAAAGTATGGGGACCTGGGGCTGCCCCGGGAGCTCACGTTGTGGGTGGACCCTGGAGAGGTTTGTTGCAGGTGAGTCCAGGTCATTTTTCAGGGCCAGGTTAGTTGGATGATGTTAGTTAATGTGGTAGAATTTTCTGTTATTTGTATATATGTTTTTGGAACTACAAGCTCAACAGATTAAATATAACCGATATATCGTCTCTCCCTGCTCATATTTCAGTCCCTCTTTCATTGTCTGATTTAATTTTTCGTTATTAAACTTAAAGTGTTCAAGGAAACATCACAGTTAGGTCTGAAAGACTGTTAACTATAATAAATGGGCAAAACAACTAATAACTCACTCCAAAAATACAGACTAAAGGCCCCCAATTACTTAATAAAGATCACACTTTTGATTAACCCTTATTGACCAGGCAGCATGTTTTATCATCCTATTAAAACCTCCCCCCTCTATCAGCCATACTCCCCTGCCTGGCCAAAAGCGTTGGTTTACTTTTCTTCTTTTGTGAAAACAAAACAGATCAAAGAACGTTTTATGTTTAAAGAGTTTTCTAATGATGCTTTCATCTGTTTCCCAAACCGAGACCTGCAGCACACTTCGTAGCTCGCGCTCATACTTTATAAGATTTTATTTGTACTTTTGTCACCTTGCGTGGGGTTGCCATTGGTCTCTGAGTTGAGCTGGATGTAGGTCACTGCTAAGTTTTCATATAGTCCATCTTGAATATAACGCTTTGATATTCTCTGGGTCCCCCGTTTAACATCTGACGTTACGTCCACAGAACAGCGTGGAGACTTTCTACTTGGAAGTAAATTCAAGAAAAAGGGCTCAGTCAGTCTGCTCACCAAAGGATATTGTAGTCTTAGATGGTGAAATACAAATGAAGATATTTTTCTGTCATAATACATAATAAACAAACCTGGGTACAGCACCTAGCAAGAACCACGGTTTTATCTCTGCAAGGATCAGATCAATCAAAACAAGATGAATCAATTGAAACATCTCAATGTCACAGAACAGCTTCCTGTCTGTGATGAAAAGCTCTAATTTATTTATTTAAGCTCTTAAGAGCTGCACTCAGCTCTTCTACTCTAACTTTAAGCTAATGAGCATCAGGCTTTCTGCGCTGTCGTACAAAGCTCTCTTTTTCTCTCATTCATCAGATGCTGCTTGGGGACAGCTTCTAAGGGTACCGGTCACCCAAAACGAGAAGGTTTGCTTACGTAGACATGGGCGTTCATTCTGTAGCTAAAACTTTAGAGTTAAAGCTTAGCAGCTGGGCTGGACATCATCCCTCTTTCTGTTCAGCTCGCCAGTTACAGAAACGTCAGTTGGTAACAAACACTGTCATCATTTCCTTTCCCATTGAGTTCCGTCCCAGTGTTTACAGGGATGGTCGCCTGTGTCTTCAGCAGGCGTAGAGCTAACAGAACTGGCAGCGTTGCGAGGCGAGGCCTCAAACATGTACAAATTCTGACCGTTGATATATGATTGGCCGAACTTAGGTGTTCAGGATGACTTATAACTAACTGGCCTGCATAAGAACGAAAAACAACACAGATTTTAAGACAGGATTTGTTTTAAAATAGAACTTTTCTAACTTTTGGGACAATATGGACTGATAAAGAGTACATTTATATACATGGTAAAGCCAGAATGATTTAAAACTTAAATATGATTTCCCTACAACTTTGAAAAAAAAAGGTCCATTATTATTACTTTTAGCCACAGAGAGTTGCATAACTCTACAGCGACACGGACGTTTATGATCAGTACAGTTAGTGTTACTAATGGCCTACAGTTAGTAAACACTTTAACTGGTAGATTTCCAGAACATTCCAGGCATTTTTCCATAATGCGTTTAAATAGGAGTGTCAGTTCAGCCTTACATCATTAAACAGATGCACTGGAATCACTCTTTCTCTGCTTCTTCTTGCCAAGCTGTTTAATAATAATAATACATTTTATTTGAAAGCGCCTTATCACAACACCCAAGGACACTGTACAGGCAGATAAAAACATTAAAAACAGGGAGCTGTTTGCAGTGAATGTTTTCCTTATTTTGTCCTCCTGTCAGATACGGAGAGCACAACCCCTGCTTCTCAGTGGCCACCTTCAGCAGCGATGATGAGGATGATAAAGACGTTGCTAAGAAGGTGACCAGTGCTCTGGAGAGGGTGACGTCTGACTACCACTCGGGTTCTTCTTCTGATGAGGAAAGCACGCGTAGTTCCCCCCTCACTGTCCCCAAAAGCAGCGGGAGCCACCAGGTAGGGCCCTTCATGGAAGCAGCCGGTTTAAACCCGTTTAGAGTCTGAATACGTCGGTTGGTCAAATTAAGATGATTCGCTGAAAAAATTAATTTTTTTAATCTATTTTTGTGTGTGTTCTGATTTTGGTTTAAAATGACTGATCTTATGCAGTTGGAATGAAAAATAATAGGCTGGCCTTTTTTAATGGAATTAATAAACTCTCTTCTGGTTTCAGACCATGAATCCCGGAGCTCCTTCCTGGCATCCCAGAGAGACGACGTCAGGGAAAGGTCTCATCCTTCCAAGGCCTCACTACGGCTACCGGCCCCGGGGCAGGGCCCCCCACTCCTTTAGGAGCAACGTTTGGGTCCCTCCTGTCTACAGAGCGGGCCCCGAGTACTGGGACACAGAGCCATACATGGCACATAGTTACAGTTAGGGACCTCGGTGCTTGTTGTTCACACTGGACATTAAACCTAGAAAAACTTTGACTGACCTTTTTTTTTTAAAAACATGAATTTTTATAACGTCAATATTGTTTTTTTCAGTCTTTTGCACTTTAGATTGTTTTGTTATAGTTGGAATGAATCACTTGTATGAAATTAGGTAGAGAAATTGGAATACTACATGTGTAATTTTGAAGTACTGTATTTTTACTACAGCTTAATGTCCTTTGTGATGAAATGTTTTATTAAGCACAAATTTTCAGATGTATAGGCTTAATATTATAAACTTTTATTAAACATTTCCAAGCATTGCATAAGCTTCTGTTTTTCTATCAGTCCTATTCTTGGACACCCCTAATGAGACCCTCGTCTTCATACAGAGAGAATCCCTGCATAATGTGTAGCTTTGTCCAGCTGCTTAAAGACAGAAACAGGCAGGCAGGGGTTAAACATGTAAAATTACTTGTAACAAAAAAAAATACATATCTTAGGGTTTTTTTTTTAATGCATAAACTGATGCTGGATGCCCCTAAAATATCTCTTAAGTGTGTTTATCTGTGAGAAGATGCCAAGTTCTGGTAAAATTAATTCAACATGATAGTTTTTTCACTGGAAAAACGTTCTAGAAATAAGTAAAAAAATATTATTGTATTTATCACTAATCTGAGTAGATGAATCAGAGTTTGCCAATGGAATTACATAGAGAATATGCAGTTGAAATAAGACAATGCAATCTTATTTTAAGTGTACATTTTCTTTTTACATAACAATGAAAACAGTGTGAAGTCAATGTATACAAAAAGATACATTAACAAAAAGATCAGATACGGCAAACCAAGCGTGACGTCTTGTATCGGTCCATCACTAATTGGTATTTATGAAAACCTGTCAGCAGAGGGAACCAGGAAGCACTAAAAATGTCTCTATTTGAAGGACTCCAGTAGATCATATCTAACCCACAAACCATTGTCTTCCAAATAGTCAAACACATTTGAAATATTCATCTCCATGCAGGAACTTTCCGAAACCTGTTATTAAAGCACTTATCAATAGGATGTCAGAAGATGCAAGAATTAAAAATAGCATCTAATTTATCTGTCAGCTGGACTCTTTGCTGAAGGCTTCAGATGTTTGACGTTTAAAAGAATTATAAAATGTCTGAGAGGGTAGAAAGTGAACCTCGCTCACCCTGGGGTTACATGACGGGTCTGACCGGTCGGATCAGTTTAAATTATCGGGACGTTGCAGTGATCTGGTGTTTCATGAGTAAACAGCATGAGGGAGTGAGAGATAACAGAGGAACAAATGAAATGACAGGACATATTGATACCGAATATTACCGAAAGATAAATGCAGAGAAAACGTGAGATCAATCTGAGGGGAACTTTTATCTTTAATAGGATTTTATAATGGTATTCTACAGCAGCAGTAATAAATAGACATATTAACTATGACCTTAAATTAAAGTAATCATCTTCTTTTCTCTTTAAAATTATAGGGAAAGCAAAACTAAAGTTAACACTATATACTTTTCTTTCTACTCAAGCAAAAAAAAAAGTATCCAACAAATTACTAGAGAAAATAAAAAAAGTATTTAGTAAAAAGGTTCCTGTAGTACTGAGTAACTTGGATCATAAATTCTGATTTAATGTTTAGAAATGATACAAATCAGACTGACAGGTTGTACAAGTTCTAGTATTAGAACTAAGACATGAAAAAGTAGTATTAGATTAAAATACATGAAAAATAAAAATATTACTTTACAACAAATTAATGCAGAACAATTTAGTTTCAAAATGCTTTTTTTTTTTCCAACATGGAACTTATTAAATCAACACAGGGAAATATGTATAGACACTGAAATCCTATTACTTAATCATATTCAGTTACTTTAACACAATTGTTTCATGTTAGCAGGATAAGAAATAAAACAACAGTAAATGCAAAAAGCGGTTGCATTATTTTTTCAGTGTGTGTTAGAACAGGCAAATTATTTCCACTGACAACTACTACTTTTTAGTTACAGCATACAGAGTAGCCAGAAACTTTACTCAAGAAATAAACTTCAGTTAAAAAGGTATATATATCAAGTCATCTCATCAGATTGGACTCCCTTGATGAGATGACCGGAGTCTGGTGCTATTGCTTGGTTGGATTGAAAACCTGCATCCACACGGCCCTTTCTGGAACCAGTTTGACACCCTGATCCAAATGGTCACTGGCAAACTGAATAGGGTGCTTGACATGTGCTAGTTTAAGCAGGGGAACCTTCCATGCTTTACATGATTTCAAACCATGACATCTTAGAGTATTACCAACAGTAACCATGGAAACCAGATGCTCCCGTGTAGTTCTGGGCTGATTTCCCACCTTCCCTAGAATTACTGAGACCCCATCAGGTGAGATCTTGCATGGAGCTTCAGTCCCAGGGTGATTGGCAGTCATGTTTCTTTCATTTTCTAATGATTGCTCCAACAGTGGATCTTTTTTATCCAAGCTGCTTTGCAATTTCCCCGTAGCCCTTCCCAGCCCTGTGAAAGCGTATGTACAATATTGTCTCTAGTGTCATTGGACAGCTCCTTTATTTTGGCCATGTTAGTAGATGAATTCTTACTGATTGTATGGGGTGGACAGGTGACTTTATGCAGCTAACGACCTCAAACAGGTGCATCTAATTTAGGATAATAAATGGAGTGGAGGTGGGCAGTGGAGGTTTTGAAGGTTGACTAACAGCTCTTTGAGGGTCAGAATTCTAGCTGATAGGTGTTCAAATACTTATTTGCAGCTGTGTCATGCAAATAAATAGTTAATAAATCATATATTGTGTTTTTTTAGATTATGTCTCTCATAGTGGACATACACCTACAATAACAATTTCAGACTCCATGATTTCTAAGTGGGAGGACTTTCAAAATAGCAGGATGTTCAAATACTTATTTAATACTATACTATATTTTCCTCACTCTCTCTCTCTCTTTAAGTATATATATATATATATATATGCAATATTTTTTCAAAAGCATGATCTAGGCAGTTAATAATCTATTACACTGTAAAATGCAAAATACAACTGAAGGGTTGTCGGTTGGAGCCCCAGGTCCAGCTTTCTTAGTGTCTTTGTGCCTTTGGGCAAGACACTTCACATGCATTGTCTACTGATGGTGGTCAGAGGGCCCGGTGGCACCTCACTTCTGCCAGTGAGCCTCAAGGCAGCTGTGGATACAATGTAGCTAGCCACCACACTGGAAAAACAATCTAGAAATAAGTAAAAATGTTTTAAATTAAGTGCATTTATCCTTAATTAGAGTCATTAAATTAGATAGTTTGCCAATGGATTGAGTTTTTTACTCTTAAAATAAGATACTTAGATATTATGCACTGGAAATAAGATAAGGCAATAGTGTTTTCTTATTTTAAATGTAAATTTGGTTCCATTGGCAAAATGACAGTTTTACCTCCTCAATTCAAGAGCAAATACACTTATTTTAAGAAAAAAAGACTTATCTAGATTTCAATTTTTTTCCAGTGTGAATAAGTCCTCTGACTTGAAAAAGTTTTATATGGGTACAGGCTTTTACCATAACTGTCTTAAAAATAAATCAATATTTTAAAAAGTGTATAATTACTTCACTTTATTTGCATGAATAAATTTAGTTTAAAGTAATCATGTGTTTTTCTCTGGGGTCACCGTTTTATTGCATTGTTGTTTTTTGGGCTGACATGTTTTGGCTAATGCAAACATCCATCCTCTAACAGGGTTCATTCACTGTATGTCATCAGTATTATATGTTTTATAGAACGTAGAAAAAGAACCAGACCTGGATGAAATCGATAAGAAACATCAATATAAGTTTCCTTTGTTGAATAGCGAACTTTAATCTGCAGTCCCTGAGAAGACAACATGCAAAACCCATTAAAAGAAATTCCAAAAAAGTTCAAAAACAATCCGCTGCACTTGGTTTGCAAGCTTAAAGTTTGAAGATGTTTTGCTTCCCATCCAGGATTGTCTGAATAAGCGCTGAGTTTGAATCTTAATATAGTAAATATAGTTTATAGAATTCAAACTCATTGCTAATTCTGAATATTTGAATTGAAAAAGCTTCCTGGATGGGAAGTCAAACGTCTTCAAACTTGGAAACCAAGTCCAATGGATTGTTTTTTACTTTATTGGAATGACTATGACCTCAATGACTGAGAATCTTCACCAGCAGATTCACAGAAAATTGTTGCATTAAAAAAGGGACTTTTCAAACCTAAAGAGTTTGAAAAGTCCTGAGAGAGACTGTATTACAAACAGTCAGCGCACGCTATTAAAAACTCATACAGATTTAGGAGATGACATAATTTTTTCTTATGCCATCTGTGAAACAAGATGGCATAAGGACTTTTTTAATCAAGACTTTTCAATCCCATATCACTTCCGATCTACTACCTTTACTTTAGGTGGATTTAAATAAGGATGTCGTGGATGATAAGAGGAAATCAGAAGCTGAGGCTGAAGTAGAGTCTTAAAAATACCTTTAACTTATTTTTCAAAGCTTAGATTTTTTCCATGTACCAAAATGTCTGAAAAATAGGTTTTACTTTGTGATAACAGGGTATTTTTTACGGTTTATACTTAATCACATCAGTTTAGAGAGAGCTGATAACAGAATGAGGAAAAGGTTAGGGGTGTGAATACTTTTTGGTAGCACTGCTTGCCCTACAGTCTGGTTTCTAAGGCGATTTGATTAAAATCTTTTTAGATATAGATTCAAATTAGGAATGTCCGGATAAGACATCAGAACGCGGATCTTACATACTTTTTTTGTTGTGTGGAATGTTAGAAAAAGCTTTGATTAAGTGATATTATTCAAACAGAGAACAATAGTCAATAACAACAGGAACAACTGACCCATTTATTATTAACCAACAGGTTACATAAACTTTAGACAGAAGAATTGTGTTTTTATCACCAGGTTTTATCACCTAGCAGCAGGCCGATATAATCCAGTGATCGTTTTTGTGAAAAATGTTGGATTAATATCTGATATTGGTATCTGATTGGTACACCTTTAGTTGAAATGTGTAATTTATTTTCCCATCTGAGCCTCTGCGCTGTTTAGCACATCAAAAGCGGCAGATGGCCGCTCACACTGAGCCTGGTTCTGCTGGAGGTTTCTTCCGGTTAAAAGGGGGTTTTTCCTCTCCACTGTCACTACAAGCATGCTTAGTGCGAGGGATTCCCTTCGAGTCAATGAGTTGATTCAATCAACTGGTTTTCCTTAGATAGAAAACTTTGAATCAATCTGATCTGGTTGAATTGTATCTGTAAAGTGCCTTGAGATGACATGTGATGTGAATATATATATATATATATATATATAAAATAAGCTGAAGTCTCTTATTAAGCAAGATTATAACTTAGACTTAGACAGATTTATTTTGCCATTTTGTATACACAAGTGTAAACAAAAAGAAATTTTGTTTAGAACAGTTTTCTAGACAATTGGATTTTTTAAAGTGCAGCCTCGATAAGGTAAGCAGCAGTGATATAAAAAAAACATTGTGATATTAATTCATTATAATAATGATAATGAGTATTCATTATAATACAGATTTATTGCATGGGTATTTATTTATATCAACATAAATGATTCATACTTTTACATTAGAAAAAAAAGTTAATCTCTCTTTTGATTTTGTGTCTTTCAGGATAAACACCTCTAAACAACAAAGAACCCATGATAAACAATCGTGTTTGTAGAGACTGTCATCACCCTTTTTGACCAGTAGATGGCACCGCTGAGCTTTGTAGCCTTTCGGTGTCACGTGACCGCCCGGGGCGCGCTCCGCTGTGCACCTGCACGCAGCAGGAGGAGGAGGAGGAGGGGGAGTGGAGTTTGGATGCTTCGGTGGAGCAGAGCGGGGCTGACCGTCTACAGTCGGTATCGGTTACAACTTCTTTCACCAAGTTTCTCCGGCGAACTGTTGGGATATCTAACAAGGAAAAAAAGATGGAGTCCTCCAAATCCTGGCTTGGTTTTCTGCTGCTGAGCTTCTTTCCAGGTAAGTTTCCATCCGAAACTGAGCGACTTTGAGGAATTTCTCATTTCAAACGGCAGCAGCGGCCAGCCAGCCGTTAGCCACCGACGGTTCAACTCTTCTCAGCCAGTTTCCCAGCGAATAACTTTAAGTGTTTTTAATTACTTTACCAAGTTGGTAAATAATGGTAACCGCGTTTCCTGTTAATTTGAATTAATTAAATGCCTCCGAGGGGAGAAACTGCGAGTCAAGGGTCGTTTAGTGAGCTAGCAAGGGAGGACACGGTGCTATGAAGAATAAAACAACTGCTTCAAAGTTAGTTTATTACACTGCAGAAAAACTAGGTCTGAAGAAATCATTTTTCTTAAAATAAGTCAATTTTTTGAGGATTTGAGAACTCAAATGAGACACTTTGCCTATTTAACCAAACAATTTACATTTAAAATAAGAAAAAAACAATTATATTGTCTCATTTCGAGTGCATATTATCTAATTATCTTATTTTAAGAGTAAAAAATTGGCAAATCATGTTATTTACCTTGTTAAAATTAAAGGTACATACACTTAATTTTTTTTTCAGTGTAATGGATATCTTCAGGTTTTTTTTAAAGAAAAACTTAGATTAATTAAAAGTCACAAAGAAAATAGAAATAGATTTATTTAATTTTATTCTCTAAAGTAGATAACCAGCATTTGAAATGAGAAGGAATTGGATTATTAATTTAGTCTTAATTTCTTGGCTGCCTTCCATTATTGAAATCTATTGATTGATGGTAGTAGGGGGGAAAAGCCATGGCTGTTTTATTTAATGTCAGAAATGTCTTTTGGTTTATCATACAAAAGCTTGATCCGCTTTTAAACCTGTGGCTGGAGGACTTCAAAGTGCTGTTTTTTTTAGTCTGCCATCTGCCAGCAGTTTTAACCCCCCCTCCTCTGTGTCTCTGCCCATTATCCAGCCTGAAATCCTGCCTTTCATATCAACTTAAATACACGTTTCCTCATGTTGGCAGATTTATTCCCCGGATGGTTTAAATGATTCAGAGTAAGAAATTCAGGATTTAAAACTTTAATCCAGTGTTTTTACCATAGACAGATTTGGATTGCTCTTAATGTTTTTTTAAGTGTATTGTTTTGTAAAACGTCTAATTTAGTTTTGTTAACGGTGAGATTTTTCAGTTTATAAAGTGGATATTTAATCAGAAAGACGTTTTTATCTTAATATTCCTTTTAATGTTTGACTCAACTGTCTTAATTGCTAAATAGACTTTATGGTATGGTATTGTTTGTCTACAAAAGAGGAACAATTTCATTGTTGTATTGTTTTAAAAATATTATGCAAAATCCAGTCTTCCCACCAAAAGTGAGCTTCAACGTGACTAAAGAGCAGATTAGACTTCTGCATCCGCACACATCAATTGTGGCCTGGGGCTGTTCGCCAATCAGTTTTGCTGGTTTACTTCTGCACCGCCGGTCTGGAATTTCTAGGACGCGCAGCAGTTTCCCGCCAAAGCACAAGGGGGCGCCTATTTGAGAACTCGCAAGAACTTGTGTGGCTGATCATGAGAACTTTGGCGGCACCGCTGGGTGTGTTTATCTTCCTAAACAACAATGGCGCATCTGCAAAATATCACGGAGACGGTTCTAGAGTTGCTAGACGTAGAAGAGGAACAGGTTCTCTTAAAGGAGTTGGCAAAAATACCAATTAACCTTTTGTCGTAGTTGTTCCTCGGTTTTTAAAAATGGCGCACCTCGGCACCGAATCGAGAAGGACGAACACACAGACAGCCGGAAAGGCATACCAAGGACAAATCACAGCTGCTTTTTGTCTGCGCGGGTTTGCGACCGTCCGATGTTTAGTAACAGTTTTTTTTATGCTTCAGAAGCATAAATTGGCATAAATTGGCCTTAATAATTCATAAAACAATACATCACAGATCTCTGGAGTATGTCCTCTAATGTTTTACTAGTTTTTATTCCTGTTTTAATTCAAATTCTGTTCAGCAAGGTATAATGAGTACTGCATGGATCCCAGGTTGATGTGGTAAGTTTGAGTAGATAACTGAATGCTTCAAATTTAGGCTGAAGTTAATCACATTGTGTTTTTTCCCTAATGCCTGCCGATCAAAAAAAAAAAAAAAAGAATTGGCAGCCTTTTTTTTTTTTTTGTTAAATACGGCCACCAAAATCTCTTCTCCGATTACTGGACTCTTCTATCTGGTTTCCAGCGTACATCTTTGATTGTAGAGACAATAAACAACAGGATAATATCTTTAATGTTTCATAAAGTTCATTGATTCTTTATTTTTAGACTCTGAACAAATCATTAGTCATTAGTGAGGGCGTGTCTTTTGTTTGCTGGAATTTAAACTGAAACTACCAAACCACTCCTCCCTCTGAGATGAATAGAGTGAAACATCAGCCACCCGCTTGTGTTTTGGCTTCAGTCACTGATGCATCATGGTACTTACTCAACTATCATTAGATGTTTTTTGTGTTTTTTTGCTGGGAAGCTGCAGAGCTTCTGAGAATAGATCTAAATTCCAGTGGCCTAAATGAAATGCAGGAGGGCTTTGCTTTGGATCTTCTAGCTCATCTCTTTCTGCAAAGATCCAGGTTATTGTGTGCAACATGGTGTTGTGTTGAGTTCTGCCTTTGTCTCCGGATTCACATTGTTGTGTACACGCTAGTTTGGCCTCATTACCATCTTAATGGCACTGTGGTCTCGTTATTTGAGCTCTGTTCCACTTCGCCAGACAAGAACAGTAACTGTAGGACTTGTAGCATTCTTCTATCTGGGCTTGGAAATAAATGGTCTTGTGCAGAGCTCTCTTTATTGGCTGAACAAAAACTGGGATATTTCTGCTCTATTTTCCTTTCCCTATTCAGAAGAAACATGTTGACTAAAGTAATCTAGACAGAACCCTAACCCTAACCCATGTATATAAATGTACTTTTTATCAGACCATATTGTCCCAAAAAGTTAGAAAATTTTCAACAAAAAAAAAAAAATCTTAATCTGTCTTAGAATCTTTGTTTTTTTCCCCGTTATCTTATGCAGGCCAGTTAGTTATATGTCAGCTTGTACACCTAAATTCAGCCAATCAAGTATCAATGGTCATCTGTCAATTAAATTACTTTCCCATTGAGTTCTTTCAAACAAAAGTAACAAAAGTAATTTCCCTCTGGGATTATTAAAGTATTTCTGATTCTGATTCCCAGTGTTCACGGAGATGGACGTCTGTGTCTTCAGCAGGCGTAGAGCTAACAGAACTGCCAGCGTTGCGAGGCAAGGGCTCAAACATGTACGGGAGTGAGAATTACGCCCAGGAGCAAATGGATAAAAATAGACCAGAGGAAAACAAAAAACATGAATCTATTCTCTGGCGGACGTGTCGATGCATCGGGCCGTCAGCTGTTGGATCAATGGATCGATACAAAACGATTATATTTATACCCCTATCTCGCATTGGGTTCACTTTCCCCTGTGTTTTTTATTTATCGCTAAACTGTGAGAAGTCTTTTATTTTTGATTTGACATTATTAGACTTTAGCAGAACATGTATTAATAAAAACTATAATAGGTCTTCTTTAATAAAACGCCACCTCTATTACACACACTGTGTTGTTTCCTGACTTTTAAATGAAAAAGCTTCCTGGATGGGAAGTGAAACGTCTTCAAACTTGGAAACAAAGTCCAGTGGATTTTTTTTTTTTTTTTTAAGTATTTTGGAATACCTATGACCTTGAAGACTGAGAATACTCACCAGCATGTATTTGAGCTGATCTGAAGGAGATTGAGAGATTTCTGGAAACTCAAGTTTATATCATTAACATAAACTCCAATGTTGCGGGCATCGCATGGACCCCAAATCATTCCAGTCAATGTGCACACTGAGTCATGGTACAGGTCCCACTACAGAGGTGATTGAGATCAATGTAGTTTCTCTAGAAAAACAAAATTTTTTGATGGTCTTGGCAGCAAGCTCCCGAATTTAACACGCTAATCAGGAAAAGAGGGAACCAGACAGAAAAAAGTCACGGTGAACTTCAGAATAAAATCAGCCCACCAATCCTAACTTGAGTAGTGACAGCGAGACAGCAAGACTGAAACAGGGGGGCTACAAGATGGTTGAAAAGGGAGATTTTTGTGCACTGATAAGTTATTATTGGCTCCAATTGTTTAACGTCATGTTAGCTGGTATCAACGAGGGTTCATGCCATCCAGAGGCATGAGAGCTAGACCGATGCATTCAATTCAGTTTATTTATATAGAGTCAATTCACAGCACATGTCATCTCAAGGCACTTTACAGAGCCGATTCAATCAAATCTTCCATCAGCTGGCCAATATTTTTGGCTGATAATAGCATTTTTTCTATCATCTATATCGTCTGATACTTGCATGTGTTTTCGAACTCATTAGATCACTCAGATTAAATGGAGCGCGTGCATTGCTGCTCCCTCCATTAGCCATCTGTTGTTAATGTTTGTTTGATTTGCTAATCAATGATTCTTTATTATTCAGATTAGTTCTACATGTGCTATCAGTGTCATTTTTATCATATGAATAGAAGGAGAATTGATATTGGCTTCGAAAAATATCGAAAGCACTGCACCGTACTGGTCGATCTCTAGTTGAGAGTAAAATGGGATTCTGATGCTGTTTTCAGGAAGATGGTAAAGAAAACAACTGATCAGTGATGTGAGCTAAATGTTTACCACGTCAGAAATCTACAAATGTTTCCATCTTCTCTTTAGCACATTTACTCTTTAGCACAGTTTCTTTGTTTTCCATCTAACTTTTCTATGGTGATACGTCAAAATGTGCTTAAGAAAACATAGATGAAACAGTGTCCTATGAGCTCCTGCCATCTGCTTGGATCTAATGACTTTGGCAGTAATTATGATGCTTATCCACTCAGTTTTACTTAGTCCTCTGCCTACAACAGCTTATGCTCAGTCTGCTAAAATGTTAAGAGTTTTATTGTATGAAGATATTTAGTTTCCAATATCCAGCAAATTCAG